TCTCTGGCGGCGTAGTGTGTTACTGATGGTAGGCTTTGTTACTTTGGTCCCAGCTCTCTGCAGGTCATTCACTAGGTCCCCCCGTGTGGTTCTGGGATTTTTGCTCACCGTTCTTGTGATCATTTTGACCTCACGGGGTGAGATCTTGCGTGGAGCCCCAGATCGAGGGAGATTATCAGTGGTCTTGTATGTCTTCCATTTCCTAATAATTGCTCCCACAGTTGATTTCTTCAAACCAAGCTGCTTACCTATCGCAGATTCAGTCTTCCCAGCCTGGTGCAGGTCTACAATTTTGTTTCTGGTGTCCTTTGACAGCTCTTTGGTCTTGGCCATAGTGGAGTTTGGAGTGTGACTGTTTGAGGTTGTGGACAGGTGTCTTTTATACTGATAACAAGTTCAAACAGGTCCCATTAATACAGGTAACGAGTGGAGGACAGAGGAGCCTCTTAAAGAAGAAGTTACAGGTCTGTGAGAGCCAGAAATCTTGCTTGTTTGTAGGTGACCAAATACTTATTTTCCACCATAATTTGCAAATAAATTCAATAAAAATCCTACAATGTGATTTTCTGGATTTATTTTTCTCAATTTGTCTGTCATAGTTGACGTGTACCTATGCTGAAAATTACAGGCCTCTCTCATCTTTTTAAGTGGGAGAACTTGCACAATTGGTGGCTGACTAAATACTTTTTTTCCCCACTGTACGTATAGCCTACTGTGCGACCTATGCTACTTTAGCCACACAGGCTCTACGAATCATAGACCGTACTGGTATATAAGGTATGAATACATGTGAGGCCAGACAGACAGGTGACAGGGCTGAACTGTCCAGAGCAGTTAGCCTACTCTCCACTCAATTACCTCTGCTGGTGAGATAGGCTGTATGAATCATAGGCCGTACATAAGGCATGAATACATGTGTAGCCAGACAGACAGTGACTGGATGACGGGTTGGGCCAGAGATGTCCAGGGAAGTTACTCTCTAATGGGATACATACGACCTCTGTTGGACAGATGGCCTGTATGAGTAGGCCTACACGTGAGGCTTGACAGGTGACAAGGCGTTGGGGCAAGAGCCGTCCAGAGATGTTAGCCTACTCTCCATCCGGCTGTGACTGAGCTCTCCAAGATAGCCAAGGCTGTATGAATCATAGACTGTACATAAGGTTAGGTATGAATATATGTGCAGCCAGACAGGTGATGAGGTGACAGGGCCAGAGCTGTCCAGAGAAGTTAGCTACTCACTTTCAAGAGGATTGTGACTGAACTCTGCTAGCCAGACGGCTGAGACTGGGTCAGTAGTGCTAGTCAGTGGTCAGTCAGTCCATAGATGAGCTGCATGTGATGGAACCCATATTGAAGTAGAGGCTCAGTGATAATCCTGAATATCTCAACAGAGACATAATCCCAAGGCCAGTCATACACCAAATCATCCAGTACGTGCAGTAGGTTTATACAGGAGCAGACACGCCAGGCCAGGACATATTCATCATCAGTAATCAAGGGTCGACACAGAACAGCGCCGGAGAAGATGACTGCCGTTTTACAGCCCTCTAACCAATTGTACTATTATGTGTGTTTTTCCGCGATATTTGTAACTTATTTTGTACATAATGTTTCTGCCATCGTCTCTTATAACCAAAAAGACCTTCTGGATATCAGGACAGTGATTACTCACTACTGTTATTTTATTTTACTTCTGCTCTTTTTTTCTCAACACTTTTTTTGTTGTTGTTTTATTTTTACTTTTTTGTTAAAAATAAATGCACTGTTGGTTAAGGGCTGTAAGTAAGCATTTCACTGTAATGTCTGCACCTGTTGTATTCGGCGCATGTGGCCAATACAATTTGATTTGATTTGATTTGAAATAGAAACACGGACTTGATGAATGACTAAGAGAGTGGGATGAATCATGGATGGAATGGAGTAAATTGAATGGATTTAGGATATGGGGGATTTGAGGTAAGGAGATCTTAATTTACATTTTCTACCATAACAAATATAATTATTTTATAATTACAACATTTTATATCATGGGAGTTTTATACCATGGAAGGAAAATCCCTCAAATTATTTTTTGGGTTATTTGACGGCAGGCAAAGAAAAGCTGGAAGCCGTGCTTGTTAGTTCAATGCCATTTCATAGCATTTGCAAATGCAGAATTCTTCATTTTCTCTAACACTGACATTACATTAACATGTATAGTATAACTTTGATGTCTGAAAACCACTAAACATTCTGGTATAGCTCACATTACAGATAATTTGTTATCACATTGCTTATCTACAGACATAAATGCCTTGTCCATTGCTTGTTTGAGCTACAATTACCAGTTATTCATACATTTTGTCTTTATTTGACTTCCCTTTGAATTCCCCTTACAAACCCAGCCAGAGAAAGGCCTTCCGGTTGAGGATTCAGGCCAATATAATGGAAAATATGTTTTGAGACGCACATCATGCAATGCCTTGTGTATCTATCGATCTTAGTAAATTGTGTAATCTTGAGGATGTCACACCCTGGCTCTGGGACTCTATATGTTGAGCCAGGGTGTGTTCATTCTATGTGTTCTGTTTCTATGTTGGGTGTTCTAGGTTGTGTTTTTCTATGTTGGCCTGAGTGACTCCCAATCAGAGGCAACGAGTGTCAGCTGTTGGCTGGTTGTATCTGATTGGGAGCCATATTTATACTGTCTGTTTTCCTTTTGTGTTTGTGGGTTCTTGTTCCGTGTTCGGTCATTATCACCGTGGACTTCACGAGTCGTTTATTGTTTTTGTTCGTGCTTTAATATAATAAAGTAACATGTTCATTCATCACGCTGCGCATTGGTCTACTTCTCTCCCTGACGATCGTGACAGAGGACAATAGTAAAGGCACTGTTAATATAGTAAATCATTGCTCACTATCTTTTTTTTTTTATTCAAGAGAAAAAGCTTTTGTTCATAGTACATGTAACCTAATCTTTAATGTAAAATGACAAATACATAGTCCCAGGTCCAGTGATACTGATGTTGCCATGTTCCATTTATTTAAAAAAAAATCCTGTGATAATTTCATAAAATGAGTGGGATTAGGGTAAAAAATAAACCATAATTTTGATTAAACATGAAACTGCATTATTCACTGTAACCTGATGAAGGGAGGTCCAATAGATACTCTAGCTGGGTGTTGTCCTAATCAGAGTGTCTGATCAGTGGTTAGGTGTGACCCCAGTCACCTGATGTTGATCCAATGATTCAGGTGAGACAGGGGAGGATCAAGACAACACATCAAGCACATCAAAGACTAATTATTACCTTATTATACAGGCTTACAGGATCAACATCAAGATAACAAATTAGAGCATCCACAATATACACAAAGGTTGTTTGTATTTATGTATTATCATAGATAATTTGAAGCACACTTTTAAAATAAAGATACAAATGGACCAAGGCGAACTCATGAGCATTGCTATGGAGTTCTAGAATGTTTTACTTAATTCCAAAATAGCCAAACTTCTCTTTCACATTTTGGAATGTCTGGGCTTGAATCAAATAATTTTCTGAAATATATTCAGGTTCAACCTTGATCTAACATAACATGTTTGGCGAAATCTTATCAGTTTTTCTACATCGAAAACTTTCCCTCTCTTGCTCTGAGAGAAAACAAGAGTGAAAACAGAGAGAGCAGCATGGGGACATGGAAGGCTGGCCTGAGAGTCAAACCCGTGGGAGCACTCTGACCATTTGGCTTGATGTTGAATAAACACAAAGGTGTCTCCTCCCTCTAAAAACGGGCTCTGCTCTGCCCCATGCTGATCCTGTTTACGTGCTTTAGCCAGGTTTCTGTTTTAAGTCCAGGTGCTAAACACCTTCCCCCTGAGATAAGAGATGATTAATTCCTTTGAATGAGCAACGATTTAATGGCTCAAAGCTTAATTAAGCTGTGGATGGACACACTCACCTATGGGATCCCACGGCATATATACAAGGGCCAGCCCAGCCAGCCAGCTGAGGTGAAAAGAAAACTCCATACTTTGTAGATCATCCCTTTGATGTGAATGATGACCCCCGCCTTCTATGCCCCATCCCTGTCCTGTCCCACCATGGTCATTTCAGCATGGAAATGTGATTAGTTGACCCTTTTTAGCTCCACACCACTGGCAGAGAGGGTCCTTGGGTTGGTGGTGACATTTGTGACCAAAGCCTGATTCCATATAAATATCAGAGGGTGTGGAGACCAAAAGGTCACTCGGTCAGGAACTAGCTATCAGGGAAGCTGTGCTTTGAGGAGGAATCATAAGGGAGTATAAGGAGTATATACCATGGATATCCTGCAGCCCTGCCTACTGCTCATTCTGTGGGCTCTCAACATAGCCTGTAAGTACTGTTGTTTGTTTGTCTTTCTCTATTTGACCATAAAGCTCAATGATGTACAGTGATGATACCTACTGATGGACTTCAATCAACATTAAGACTTTATAATCCTTTTTGATACACAGGAGAGCACAGGCACTGGTACAGAGTGTGAACAGAACAGCCATGTGACATGTACTGATGTGTATCTGAGTCTGATACTGGTTGTTTGATTTCAACTGTTTGATTTTTAGAACCTTGTTGTGTGATGTGCTATATTATAGATAGTGCATATGATGTGGTTATTAGAAGAATATCAAAGGATTATACTAGTTTTATAGCAGATCAAATCAGCCAAACCACTTTGTGCATACATACATGCTATAAGTGAGCATACTATATGTCACTTTATAATTAGGTAGTGTCCTGGAACTGGCCATGACCACTAAGGTCCGGGCCTGCATGTAGGAGTGCTGATCTAGGATCAGTTTTGTCTTTCAAATGATAATTAATGGAAAGGGAGGACCTGATCCTAGAGCCGCACTCCTACTCTGAGACGATATTATACTTGACCAAGGAATCAGAGCTCTGACAGTTCAGGAATGCTGCTGTCACCTTGGACTGCTATACAAGGTGTTGATGTGTCTGTGTTAATCTTATCCAGCAGCTGCCTTGTTGAACAAACACGTGGAGCACAGGAACCTGTTTGCACTGAGAGCCTGCTGCAAGAGACAGAGCCACTTTGTTTACATCGGCCAAGGTAAAGCATTGGTAAAGCACCATGCGAGGGCAGCACTGTCTCATTCCACATACATTACTTCTATTCCACATACATTACTTCTAATGGTACTATCAAAGTCTAGTCCCATATTGTAGCCAACTATTCCCTTAGGGCTAGGCTACTACAATGCAAAGTCTTCCAAAAACCCTTGAATATAAATTCCCTTGTTTTATCATAGACTTATCTCCTCCTATTCAACAATATTTGTCAGCAGAATTATGTGGCTTGATAAATGCAAACAAAACTATATATTCATGTAAATTGGTGCAAGATACATGCATCCATATAGATGTTTAGGGGTTTAGAGAATTTGGGGGATAATGGATAATGTATATTATTGTAATGAACTCATTGTTTAACTTGTGTCCTCAGACATCTCTGGTAGTCCTGTGAGTGTGGATGTGGGGATGTGCAGGACGCATTGTGGGGGAGAACAAAGCAGGACATCATATGAGGCTGGACTACAGCAGGGCTTTTCCAAACACTCCTCCATGTTGGAATACCTCAGGAGCAAAAAGGTAAGTGAGCAGTTCCTCAAATAACCAAAAGAAAGCACTACAACTTCAGGATTGTAAAGAGTTTAGGAATTTTAAGGAATTAAATTAGGCCTCCTTATTTAATAATTTGATCAATAAAATAACATATACCTATATTCGATGAAGACAAAATAAAAATGTTTTTCTTAGTTAAATATGGTTATTATATTGTTGCATTATTAGGGACATTATTATCTCAACATGAGAGTGCTGAGACCCAAGATAAGAACACCATTACAACTTAATGGGCATATAGTCTTCACTAAAAATATCTCTTGACATGTCTTCTATTTTTCCCTTTATAAAAGGTAAGGGTTCGCAAACCTGCCACTCCAATCAGTGCCGAGGGTTCTGGTCAGGTTACATCCTGCGGGGTGAACCATAACTGTGAGCCGACCGGGGTGAGGGTGGACCGGATACTGCTGTTCAAGGGTCCCCGGGAGGTGGAGGTCATAGAGGAATGCCATTGTGAAAACAAACTGACCCAATGTGTCCGGGTTCCGGCGCTCAAAACCTACTTCTTTGAGACCCCATACGAGACTGTCATTGATGTGGGAAGCTGTTCGGGATCGAAAGGTTCTCCAGGTGTGTAGGCTTATCTTTGACTACAAAAATGACTACAAAAACAGCCAACATTTAGAGAAGGGTCTGACCGCGTCCAGGGAAGAAGCGCCTTCTCTTTCTATTGGCTCACATCTACTTCCTCGTTCTATGGGTCGACTGTAGCATTGTAGCTAAACCTAACCCTATCCCTTTTCCTAACCTTAACCTAATTCGCCTAACCTGCTACCTTAATTCACCCAACCTGTTGTGTTAGTTCTCCTAACCTGCTATGCTAATTATCCTTACCTTATACATTAATTATCCTAACTTGCTACGTTAGATCTCCTAACCGGCTACGTTAATTATCTTTACCTGCTACGTTAATTATCCTAACCTGACAAAAAGGGGGCTTGGTTTCCCTGGGCTGTTCTTCCCTGAGCGGTTCTTCGCTGGAGTTTCCCTGGAGTTTCCCTGGATGCGGGCCACAGTCAGACCTTATTGAAACTTTATGGTCGCAAAAACGTAATGCTTAAAAAAAACAGGTATCGATGCCAATGGGAGATAATGGACAAATGTACAATGTGCATAAAAGTGTTGCTCGCATAGGGGTTAGGATTGAAACCAGAGAGAGTAGATTTGTTTTTGTTGTTGTCTCCCACAACCACTGATACATACATGTCCTCGTGTTCTTAAAATTCAAACCTTATTTTTGGTGTGTCATTGCTGTAATATATGGTATAATATTTTTCATAGCACTCATTGCTGTACGAACAATCTTAATTAATTTGCACAAAAAAATAAGAAAAAGATCCTAATGGTAAAGTTCTATTGATAATTCAGTGGTAGCATAATTACAAAGGCCATTTCACAGGGCCCATGGAAGACCATAGCATTTCAATAAGAAATAACATCAGACTGAAACAGTTAATGGACACAGAGGACATGAAACAAACAATCATCATAGTTCATGATCATGTTCAGAATGTAAGTAACCCTAATAATATGTTATAACTATTTCCTTCTCAGATGGTTTCTCCTGCGTGCCCACTAAATTTGTCTCGGCCTTGGTGGAGACCCCTAACAAGGTAGACCTGGTCCAGACGGTGGAGGCCTGTGAGCTGAGTGAGAGCTGCTACAGAGTTCCCTACATGGAGTACTACTATGAAATAGTCTATGATGCTGACGGAGTCAAAGAGGAGAAACTCAAGGTGAGCTCACGTTTCAGTATCCTGTATTTTTATTAACAAAGTTAGAAAGCCACTGCCCCATCAATACGCCAACTTTACCTGTGCTACACTCTAGCAATGCATCATTTTCTTTTTCATAAAAAAATAGCAAAAAGAAAAGCCTGCAGTAACACATATGCTTTTTTTTTTTACTTGTCTTTTGGTCTCATTCTTTATAGAAACTATTTTGCCACTCTTCTTTTTTTAATAATGAACTTTAAAGCCATGCACAGACTACATAAGATTAACCCTTATCTGATCTTATTCATTTATCAGCTAGGCAGCTTCACACCAATCAGATGTTTGATCAGAGAGCAGAGGAAGTTAGTGATTCCATCTGAGTGTCAGACACACTAAAAAGGCACCTCCATTTGTCAGATAGATCTGCAAGTAAAAGGTTATTGGTCCACTTTAATAAATTTCCCCTGCACAGAATCCTGGGAGATAAAGAGATGGCATATCTTCAATGGGTTCAGCCCAAAAATGTTTAAAATTTTAACTGGATGGATGCTATAGTATGCACAGAGTGGCTTTTTATGGGGCACATTGGGAACAAAACACTTTTCAGGGGTACAGTGCCTTCATAAAGTATTCACAGCCCTTGACTTTTCCACATTTTATTGGGTTACAGCCTGAATTTTAAATGGATTAAATGTAAAATTTTTGTCACTACACACATAATGTCAAAGTGGAATTATGTGTTTAGAAAATTTTACAAATTAATTACACATGAAAAGCTGAAATGTCTTGAGTCAATAAGTATTCAACCCCTTTGTTATGGCAAGCCTAAATAACTTTAGGAATAAACATTTGCTTAACAAGTGACATAATAAGTTGCATGTACTCACTCTGTGTGTAATAATAGTGTTCAACATTATTTTTGAATGACTACCTCATCTCTGTACCCCACACATAACAATTATCTATAAGGTCCCTCAGTCGAGCAGTGAATTTCAAACAGAGATTCAACCACAAAGACCAGGGAGGTTTTCCAATGCCTCACAAAAAAGGGCACCTATTGGTAGATGGGTAAAAAAAAGAAAAAGCAGACAATGAGAATTACTTTGAGCATGGTGAAGTTATTAATTACACGTTGGATGGTGTATTAATACTCCCAGTCACTACAAAGTTACAGGTGTCCTTCCTAACTCAGTTGCCGGAGAGGAAGGATAATGCTCAGGGATTTCACCATGAGGCCAATGGTGACTTTAAAACAGTTTAATGGCTGTGATAGGAGAAAACTGAGGATGGATCAATGACATTGTAGTTACTCCACAATACTAACCTAATTGACAGAGTGAAAAGAAGGAAGCCTGTACAGAATAAAAATATTTCAAAACATGCATCCTGTTTGCAATAAGGCACTTAAGTTAAACTGCAAAAAATGTGGCAAAGAAATTAACTTTATGTCCTGAATACAAAGCGTTATGTTTGGGGCAAATCCAATACAACACGTCACTGAGTACCACTCTCCATATTTTGAAGCATGGTGGTGGCTGCATCATGTTATGGGTATGCTTGTCATCGGCAAGGACTAGAGAGTTTTTTACGATAAAAAGAAACGGAATAGAGCTAAGCACAGGCAAAGTCCTAGAAGAAAACCTGGTTCAGTTTGCTTTGCAGCAGACACCGGGACAACAAATCACCTTTCAGCAGGACCATAACCTAAAACACAAGGCCAAATATACACTGGAGGTGCTTACCAAGACGACATTGAATGTTCCTGCAAGACGACATTGAATGTTCCTGAGGAGCCTAGTTACAGTATTGACTTAAATCGGCTTTAAAATCTATGGCATGACTTGAAAATGGCTGTCTAGCAATGATCAACAACCAACTTGACAGAGCTTGAAGAATTTTCAAAAGAATAATGTGCAAATATTGTACAATCCAGGTGTGCAAAGCTCTTAGAGACTTTCCCAGAAAGATTCACTGCTGTAATCGCTGCCAAAGGTGATTCTAACATGTATTGACTCAGGGGGTTGAATACTTCTCTAATCAACATATATTTGTGTTTTCCTTTTCTTTTCCTTTTATAACAAATGTTAGAATTTTCTTCCACTTTGACAATACAGAGTATTTTGTGTAGATCATTGAGAAAAAAATGAAAATTAAATCAATTTTAATCCCACTTTGTAACACAACAAAATGTGGAAAAGTTAAGGGGTGTAAATACTTTCTGAAGGCATGTATATATAAGAGCAAACACAAAATACACAGGGTTAAGCGTGTACAAGGGGGTTCACCTCAACCTTCAGCACCTTCTTGTTGAAGTAAATTGTTGTACTATTTACTGCTATTGTTTAAGACTTCATTTTATGTATATATTTTTTGCAATATTGTGTATGTAGACAAAGATAGAGAAGACAAAATATAGTTATTTAACTAATCTAATTCCAAGGTCTGTTAAATTAAGCCTATAGGCCAGGAGTATTCAAATCTTGCCCTACGAGGTCTGGACTACTGCTGGTTTTCTGTTCTACCTGATAATGAATTGCACCCACCTGGGGTCCCAGGCCTAAATAAGTCTCTGATTAGAGGGGAAAAATTGAAAAATACAGTGGAACTGGCTTCAAGGTCCAGATTTGAATTTGAGGGCTATAGGATGTCTGCCACCCCCTCTCACAAAAGGTGTGAGGAGAGCAAACACAAATGGTCCCTGCAGGTGTTGAATCAAAGCAGTTAACATAGATCCCCCCTCCCTGCTGGTGGGCTGGCCTGGCTGGTGTTTTCAACCTGTGGTGAGTTGATTGCTGATGGCCTTGTCTCTGTGTTGCTAATGTTCCAACAGGAAATAGACGTGGGCAGATGTTTAGGAGGCTGCACCACAGGAAATCGCTGTCTTCTCAGGTAAGCAGAACACATGCAGCTGCTCCCTCCCTCCCTGAAGCACCCCAGCCCTTCTTCTCCTCCTTCTCCATCCTTCTACCACCCCTATCCTAACAACTGCCTGCTAGCTGTTAGCTCTAACACCCTGTAATACCCATAAAGTGTTGCTGTTGTGGTTTAAATACGGCTTGTTTGGTTTGGTTTCTGATTTACACCAATTTTCTCAAGATATTTTCAATTTTCACGTTTTGATTTGTGATTTCTGTGTATATTTTGGTGATAGGTCTATATTTTAACATTTGAAAGTGTGTCTGCCAGAAGAATAAAATAATAATGTATGCACTCACTAACTGTAAGTCGCTCTGGATAAGAGCGTCTGCTAAATGACAAAAAAAAATAAAAAAATAAAAAATAGATAGGACTTCAGTATTTGGATTTTTTTTTTTGGGACAACTGTTCACAGTCTTACAACTTCTGTTTTCTCTCTCTGTATTGCAGGAGCCACTCTGATTCCGAAGTGTGCTATCTGTGGGCTGAGAGACCCACCAACTCCTGTGTCCCTCGGGGCTACGACAGCCACATGTTCCTGAACCAGCATGGCCAGATCCGCACAGTCCTCTCCATCTCCTCCTGTTTCTGTCAGTCCTGAACCAGTCCTCAGAATGATGCCCTCTAGTGGAGCAGAAACACACTGACATCCCCTGAGACCGAGAGACTTTTGCCCTGTCAGGTCCAGAAACAACCCCCTTAGTCTCTAACCCTTAGCAAGTATTGTAGATCTCAAATACTTTGATAGGTAAAAGCAATGAATGATTGTAATGTTACTTGCCTATCCACTTGTCTATCCAAATGCAGTGCCACATAAAGTGCCCAAGGATTAGGGGCTAGGGGTTATTTTTGTATGGGGTCTTCAACTCTTCCTTGTTTTAGATTGCAGTCCTATAGACATAGTTTCTCCACAGTGTAGAGCTAATGATCTCATTGCAACAAATGCTGAAGATATTCTTGTATTGTATGTAATATATGTATAAAATAATTTTCTAAATAAAATTTATTCCAAAACCATTAATCAACTTGCTATCAGCCATCAAATTATTGAATGAACCCCAAACGTTCCCATATATGTCATGCAAGTGTGCTAAATATGCATTTGACCACTGTGTAGAACACACATCTACAGTGAGGGAAAAAAGTATTTGATCCCCTGCTGATTTTGTCTAGTTTGCCCACTGACAAAGAAATGATCAGTCTATAATTTTAATGGTAGGTTTATTTGAACAGTGAGAGACAGAATAACAACAAATAAATCAAGAAAAACGCATGTCAAAAATGTTATAAATTGATTTGCATTTTAATGAGGGAAATAAGTATTTGACCCCTCTGCAAAACATTACTTAGTACTTGGTGGCAAAACCCTTGTTGGCAATCACAGAGGTCAGACGTTTCTTGTAGTTGGCCAGCAGGTTTGCACACATCTCAGGAGGGATTTTGTCCCACTCCTCTTTGCAGAGCTTCTCCAAGTCATTAAGGTTTTGAGCCTGACGTTTGGCAACTCGAACCTTCAGCTCCCTCCACAGATTTTCTATGGGATTAAGGTCTGGAGACTGGCTAGGCCACTCCAGGACCTTAATGTGCTTCTTCTTGAGCCACTCCTTTGTTGCCTTGGCCTTGTGTTTAGGGTCATTGTCATGCTGGAATACCCATCCACGACCCATTTTCAATGCCCTGGCTGAGGGAAGGAGGTTCTCACCCTAGATTTGACGGTACATGGCCCCGTCCATCGTCCCTTTGATGCAGTGAAGTTGTCCTGTCCCCTTAGCAGAAAAACACCCCCAAAGCATAATGTTTCCACCTCCATGTTTGACGGTGGGGATGGTGTTCTTGGGGTCATAGGCAGCATCTCCTCCTCCAAACACGGCGAGTTGAGTTGATGCCAAAGAGCTCGATTTTGGTCTCATCTGACCACAACACTTTCACCCAGTTCTCCTCTGAATCATTCAGTTGTACATTGGCAAACTTCAGACGGCCCTGTATATGTGCTTTCTTGAGCAGGGAGACCTTGCGGGCGCTGCAGGATTTCAGTCCTTCACAGCGTAGTGTGTTACCAATTGTTTTCTTGGTGACTATGGTCCCAGCTGCCTTGAGATCATTGACAAGATCCTCCTGTGTAGTTCTGGGCTAATTCCTCACCGTTCTCATGATCATTGCAACTCCACGAGGTGAGATCTTGCATGGAGCCCCAGGCCGAGGGAGAATGACAGTTATTTTGTGTTTCTTCCATTTGCGAATAATCGCACCAACTGTTGTCACCTTTTCACCAAGCTGCTTGGCGATGGTCTTGTAGCCCATTCCAGCCTTGTGTAGGTCTACAATCTTGTCCCTGACATCCTTGGAGAGCTCTTTGATCTTGGCCATGGTGGAGAGTTTGAAATCTGATTGATTGATTGCTTCTGTGGACAGGTGTCTTTTATACAGGTAACAAACTGAGATTAGGAGCACTCCCTTTAAGAGTGTGCTCCTAATCTCAGCTCGTTACCTGTATAAAAGACACCTGGGAGCCAGAAATCTTTCTGATTGAGAGGGGTTCAAATACTTATTTCTCTCATTAAAATGCAAATCAATTTATAACATTTTTGACATGCGTTTTCTTGATTTATTTGTTGTTATTCTGTCTCTCACTGTTCAAATAAACCTACCATTAAAATTATAGACTGATCATTTCTTTGTCAGTGGGCAAACGTACAAAATCAGCAGGGGATCAAATACTGTTTTCCCTCACTGTAGGGGTGTCAATATATGGTATGTTTATAATACAACAGTTTCTTGGACCACATTCAGTACTGATATGTTATAAATATCAGCGTGTTCACCCATGGTGTGCTGAGAGGGAAACCATATATCAAAATATTGGTTGTGCCAATAATCATATTTCACTTAACATTAGAAACATGTCAATATAGTCAGCAAACATGTAGATATCAAATTATTAGAGTAAAAAGTACTAAGACAGATTTGTAAAAGCAGTGGTTGCATTCCAAATGTCACCCTATTCCCTATATAGTGCACTACTTTTGACCAGAGCCCTATGGGACACCCTATAGGCTCTGGTCAAAAGAAGTGCAGTATATAGGGCAGGGGTTTTCAACTCTTAACCTACAAGGTCCGGAGCCTGCTGGTTTTCTGTTCTACCTGATAATTAATTGCACCCACCTGGTGTCCCAGGTCTAAATCAGTCCCTGAACAATGAAAACACTGACTTCAAGGTCCAGAGTTGAGTTTGAGGGATTTAGTGAATAGGGTGCCATTTGGGACTTTTCCAGTGTAACCCGAGTGTATGGTGAGGTGTCAGTCAGCCACAGAGCAGCCCTAAGGACTGATACCACTCTGAAGCCATGGTGAAGACAGCGCTTATTCTCTGCTGTAAAAGAGGCTGCCATTCAGATGGGGGCAAACAATGAAATGCTGCCATTATAAAGGGGAACCAAAGGGCTCAGTGGCAGGAGACACCCAATCCAACCAGCAACCTGGTCTCCCTTTGTCCCCATGCATGCATTTCATATCTAAAAAAGCTGAAGAACATACGCACATCCAGGTACTTTCCGCAGGTGCTGGGTTGTAGGCAAATTCATGGAAAACGCTGCACACCGCTGCAGCATTTCATATCTGACATATCCACAGTCCACCACACCACAGGCCTGCCCTCATACTGAAACAGGCGCCTGGTTGGTGTGCTGAGAAATGGGGAATAAACAGACGATATTCATGGCACAGCAGCTTGAAATAGCATAGTATGAGTGTCGGTCTATTTATTTAAGCTTGGTGTTGGTTTCATGTGCCTGGTCTACTGCAATTAGTGAATGGGGGGTGAGTGCAGATACACAACAGAGGGTTTGACACACTTCTTTTGTAGCTGTGTTTGCTGAGAAAATAGACACAGCACACAAACGGTCAGGTGCTTAATGTGATATCATGGACCACAGCTGTATGTATGGTCGTATTCAGGTCAAACAAACCAAAGCAGGTGTTTGTGAGAGTCATTCATGACAACTGTAGCAAAATGGTTTTCTCGGCTACAAGTCACTTTTAGCTGTCAATAATTATTTTTTAAAGTGTTTCTGTTGTTACTAGTAATCAGTTGGTAGTTGCATTTGCAGGACTGCACTTTCTTCACAAGGAAATACCTTTTAAAGGTGAGAGGAAGTTCCTTGTGTATACTATTGTTGAGTATAACTATTCAAGCCTAGGCAGAATATGACACTGAACCACTGCTTAGTGCTTACTCCAAACTCAGCTGCTTGTATTTGGTTCTGTTTTGCATCGCTGAACCTTTAACTAGGGTGAAAGTTATTCCATGCATACACATGTAACAAGAGACCAAAGATCATGGGAGATACATACTGTATGTTATCTGAGCTCACATGTCAAAACAAAAGACAGACCAAAGGTTCAGCTTTAGACATTGCTTAGGGTTGAAGCAACTATTTCTGCCACAAAATACTGCAAAATTGTTGTTTTTAGTAAGGCTACAACAGTTTATTTTTCTTTGCACACGTTGTTTTTACACACTGACCGTATTTCTGATATATTGATAACATAGCCTGAGCAGATTTCATAATATGCAAAGTAGATACAGTGGGGAAAAAAAGTATTTAGTCAGCCACCAATTGTGCAAGTTCTACCACTTAAAAAGATGAGAGAGGCCTGTAATTTTCATCATAGGTACACGTCAATTATGACAGACAAAATGAGGGAAAAAAATCCAGAAAATCACATTGTAGGATTTTTAATGAATTTATTTGCAAATTATGGTGGAAATTAAGTATTTGGTCAATAACAAAAGTTTCTCAATACTTTGTTATATACCCTTTGTTGGCAATGACACAGGTCAAACATTTTCTGTAAGTGTTCACAAGGTTTTCACACACTGTTGCTGGTATTTTGGCCCATTCCTCCATGCAGCTCTCCTCTAGAGCAGTGATGTTTTGGGGCTGTCGCTGGGCAACACAGACTTTCAACTCCCTCCAAAGATTTTCTATGGGGTTGAGATGTGGAGACTGGCTAGGCCACTCCAGGACCTTGAAATGCTTATTACGAAGCCACTCCTTCGTTGCCCGGGCGGTGTGTTTGGGATCATTGTCATGCTGAAAGACCCAGCCACGTTTCATCTTCAATGCCCTTGCTGATGGAAGGAGGTTTTCACTCAAAATCTCACGATACATGGCCCCATTCATTCTTTCCTTTACACGGATCAGTCGTCCTGGTCCCTTTGCAGAAAAACAGCCCCAAAGCATGATGTTTCCACCCCCATGCTTCACAGTAGGTATGGTGTTCTTTGGATGCAACTCAGCATTCTTTGTCCTCCAAACACGACGAGTTGAGTTTTTACCAAAAAGTTATATTTTGGTTTCATCTGACCATATGACATTCTCCCAATCCTCTTCTGGATCATCCAAATGCACTCTAGCAAACTTCAGACGGGCCTGGACATGTACTGGCTTAAGCAGGGGGACACATCTTGCACTGCATTATTTGAGTCCCTGGCGGCGTAGTGTGTTACTGATGGTAGGCTTTGTTACTTTGGTCCCAGCTCTCTGCAGGTCATTCACTAGGTCCCCCCGTGTGGTTCTGGGATTTTTGCTCACCGTTCTTGTGATCATTTTGACCCCACGGGGTGAGATCTTGCGTGGAGCCCCAGATCGAGGGAGATTATCAGTGGTCTTGTATGTCTTCCATTTCCTAATAATTGCTCCCACCGTTGATTTATTCAAACCAAGCTGCTTACCTATTGCAGATTCAGTCTTCCCAGCCTGGTGCAGGTCTACAATTTTGTTTCTGGTGTCCTTTGACAGCTCTTTGGTCTTGGCCATAGTGGAGTTTGGAGTGTGACTGTTTGAGGTTGTGGACAGGTGTCTTTTATACTGATAACCAGTTCAAACAGGTGCCATTAATACAGGTAACGAGTGGAGGACAGAGGAGCCTCTTAAAGAAGAAGTTACAGGTCTGTGAGAGCCAGAAATCTTGCTTGTTTGTAGGTGACCAAATACTTATTTTCCACCATCATTTGCAAATAAATTCATTAAAAATCCTACAATGTGATTTTCTTTTTTCCCTCATTTTGTCTGTCATAATTGACGTGTACCTATGATGAAAATTACAGGCCTCTCTCATCTTTTTAAGTGGGAGAACTTGCACAATTGGTGGCTGACTAAATACTTTTTTACCCCACTGTATTACACAGTCTGACTCTGATGTGATATCTGATATTGTATGTAATCATCTTCAACTTTCTTTCCCCCTCGTAGACTATTCGCCTGTTATCGTGACTTGGCACCACAGACCAGCCAGATGTGAGACTACCATACGAGCAGTATGCCAGAACTTAAGGTATACCCCGTCTCATGCTAACATACACACATTACTGGATTCGTCCCAAATGGCAACCTATTCCCTAGATAGTTCACTACTTTTGACCAGGGCCTTAGTGCTCTGGTCAAAACTAGTGCACTATATAGGGAACAGAGTCCCATTTGGGATGCACCCAATGTGTATATCCATTATTAATACACAACTAATTGACAACAGTCTCTGAGCGGCTATGTGTTACCTGACTCTATTAAACTTGAAAGAGGCCAGTGAGGACCTATAGGGCACACTTGGTGTGATTGGGTCTATTATGCACATCTTTACACACACGTTCTCCTCACAATGACAACAGCAGAAACAACTGATATCAGTGCCCTCAGGTCTGTTGTTGTGGCACCTGAGAGAAAGGGAGATGCCCTTCAAGCCCTGTACTCCTCTTGGCTATTTCCTGTCCCTCATAGAGGTTGTATAGTGGCTGGTGGTGGTTCAGTGAACCTTGCCTTAGACCTGAAGATTTGTGTTAACTCCCCGCACTATTTCCAAGGCTTTAGCTCAGTGAGCTAACACAGTTGTGTTACTTGAGTTCAAATCTTGTGTTAGTCACAGTGTTTGCTCTCTCCAACAGAGGATCGTTGACTTGTGTTAGCTGCCCAAACTAATGATGAGGCTTTAGCTCAGTGAGCTAACACAAACATGCAGGGGAATGCGGGTTCAAATCCTGTGTCAGTCCCAGTGTTTGGTCTCTCCTCAGGACAACACGTTTCAACAGAGGCTTGCTTACTTATGTTTGCTCGCCAAGCTAATGCCAAGGCTTTAGCTCAGCAGGCTAACACAGTCATGCAAATGACCTAGGTTCAGTAACAGTGTTGCATCTCTCAAACAGAAGCGTGCTGACTTGTGTTAGCTCCCTGAGCTAATGCCAAGGCTTTAGCTCAGTGGACTAACACATACATGTGTTTCTCCTCAGGACAACCCATTCCGCCAGAGGTTTTCTCAGAGGATGGAGAAGGAAACATGACTCTGAATGACTTCCTAGATAAGTTCTCATTGCTGAGTGAGATGTCTCCACGAGACCTGAAGGCCTACTATGCATTTAAAATCTACAGTCAGTGTGCCAAAATTAATATTGTCTAGTCAATCATAGAAAGGGAAGTTACTAAGCAAACAGACACACAAAGCAATGTCTAAGACAAGGTCCATAGAAGAAGGGATCAGACCTGGGTTCAAATACTATTTAAAATCTATGGACTATTGTCATGGATAACTATTAATATTTAAGGAGCAACATACAAAGGGTCTCATTCTTGCAGCCATGGAGGTGAGTAGCTGGAGCAGAGGCTATAGATGTACAGTATAATAACCACGCTTGGAGGACCAAAGTGTTGTGAATGATTGATAAGGGCATTATAGAGGAGTCCAGCCAGCCTACAGTGCCTTCAGAAAGTATTCACACCCCTTTACTTTTTCCACATTTTGTTGTGTTACAGCCTGAATTTAAAATAGATTAAATTGAGATTTTGTGTCACTGGCCTACACACAACGCCCCATAATGTCAAAGTGGAATTATGTTTTTCTAAGTTGAAATGTCTTGAGTCAATAAGTATTCAACCCCTTTGTTATGGCAAGCCTAAATAAAGTCACATAATAAGTTGCTTGGACTCTGTGTGCAATAAGTGTTTAACATGATTTTTGAATGACCTAATCTCTGTACCCCACACATACTGTACAAATATCTCTAAGGTCCCACAGTCAAGCAGTGAATTTCAACCACAAAGACCAGGGAGGTTTTCCAATGCCTCGCAAAGAAGGGCACCTATTGGTAGGTTACATTTTTTTTTAAATATCCCTTTAAACATGGTGAAGTTATTAATTACACTTTGGATGGAGTATCAATACATCCAGTCACTGCAAAGACACAGGCGTCCTTCCTAACTCAGTTGCCGGATAGGAAGGAAACAGCTCAGGGATTTCACCATGAGGCCAATGGTGACTTTACAACAGTTACAGAGTTTAATGGCTGTGATAGGAGAAAACTGAGGATGGACCAGGAACATTGTAGTTACTCCACAATACAAACCTAATTGACAGAGTGAAAAGAAGGAAGCCTGTACAGAATAAAACATATTCCAAAACATGCATCCTGTTTCAACAAGGTAATACTGCAAAAATGTGGCAAAGCAATTAACCTTTTTTCCTAAATAAAAAGTGTTATGTTTGGGTCAAATCCAATACAACGCATTACTGAGTACCACTCTCCATATTTTCAAGCATAGTGGTGGCTGCATCATATTATGGGTATGCTTGCAATCATTAAGGGCTGGGGAGTTTTTCAGGATAAAAAAGAAAACGGAATGGAGCTAAGCACAGGACACCTGGTTCAGTCCGCTTTCCACCAGACACTGGGAGATTAATTCACATTTCAGCAGGACAATAACGTAAAACATAAGACCAAATCTACACTAGAGTTGCTTACCAAGAAGACAGTGAATGTTCCTGAGTGGCCAAGTTACAGTTTTGACTTAAATCTACATGAAAATCTATGGCAAGACCTGAAAATGGTTGTCTAGCAATGATTTGACAGAGCTTGAATAATTTTGATAAGAATAATGTGCAAATATTGCGCAATCCAGGTGTGGAAAGTGCTTAGAGACTTACTCAGAAAAACTCACAGCTGTAATCGCTGCCAAAGGTGCTTCTATAAAGTATTAACTCAGGGGTGTGAATACTTATCTAAATTAGATATCTATGCATTTCATTTTCAATATATTTGCAAAAATGTCAAAAATGTTTTTCCCACTTTGTCATTATGGGGTATTGTGTGTCGGTTTTGAATTCAGGCTGTAACACAAGAAAATGTGGAATACGTCAAGGGGTATGAATACTTTCAAAGGCCCTGTTTATACACTGAGTGGACAAAACATTAGGAACACCTCCCTAATATTGAGTTGCACCCCTTTTGCCCTCAGAACAGCCTCAATTCGTCAGGGCATGGACTCTACAAGGTGTCGAAAGCGTTCTACAGGTATGCTGGCCCATGTTGACTCCAATGCATCCCGCAGTTGTGTCAAGTTTGCTGGTACTGAATCTCTACTCCGAATAGCTCGTTCCATCTCATCCCACAGATGCTCAATTGGATTGAGATCTGGTGACTGGGCAGGCCACTGCAGGCAGCTGAATTCACTCATGTTCGTGGAACCATTCCTGGACAATCCTAGCCTTGTGGCATGGGGCATTATGGAGCAATTATGTTCAGATATCCTGCGGCATTCAAACGTTGCCCCACTTTTATCAAGGGGCCCAATGTGTGCCATGAAAACACACCCCACACCACCACTACTAGCCTGCAATGTTGACACGCGGCATGATGGATGCATGTACTCATGTGGTTTTCTCCATACCCTAGTCCTCCCATCAGCGTGAAACAGCAGGAACCGGGATTCATCAGACCAGGCAATGTTTTTCCAAATCTCAAGTGTTTTCGTTCCTTAGCTCACTGCAAGCGCAGTTTCTTGTTTTTTGCTGAAAGAAGTAGAACTCTAAGGTCGTCAGCTGCCATACCCCATTCGCGTCAAGGTAAGACGAGTTGTGCCTTTTTTTAATGGGTCTTTGCCCACCAATGTTGTACTGGACTGTCAGTTGACTAACTGTAGCCCATCTGTTGCTCTGCACAATTTGTGTCAGCCTCCTTTGTCCTCTTTCATCAATTACCCGTTTTCGACCACTGGCCAGCCGTTGGCTGGATGTCCTTTGTGTGGTGGACTATTCCTGATACACACGGGAAACTGTTGACGTTGAAAAATCCAGCAGCGTTGCAGTTCTTGACACTCAAACTGGTGCGCCTGGCACCTACTACCATACCCCGTTCATAGGCACTTAAATCTTTTGTCTTTTCCATTTACCCTCTGAATGGCACACATACACAATTCATGTCTCAATTGTCTCAAGGCTTAAAAATCTTTCTTTAACCTGTCTCCTCCCCTTCATCTACACTGATTGAAGTGGATTTAACAGGTGACATCAATAAGGGATCATAGCTTTCACCTGGTCAGTCTACACTCAGTGTACATGTAGCCTGGCTGTACAAAAAAGGCCTTGTATGGTTTGTGGCACCAGTCCCCCTAATTAACCGGCGATGACAGATGAAGATGTTTCACCGCAGGCGGAGGTGCGGAGACACGACCACGGTCATGGGTCAATTAACATTTTCAGCCATTCATTCATAAAAGAAAATGCATAGGAAATGTAGGAAAGCTCCATTCAGAAAGGCTTAGTTACTGGACAAAAAGACAAAAGCATCTGAACTGGCCTTTTTATCTCAATAGTTAACCCAGGATGAGGTCTGTTGGTTATGTTAAGGCACATGGAAATTTGTAAACAACCTAGTCGTCATACATAGTCATAAGTCATACATCATACACAGTATTACACAATGACAGCTTCTATTCACAATTGTTGATTAGACCCTTTCACCACCTCTGTGGACTGACTGACAGACTGACATGGTTAACAACCTCATTGAAGTGAAACAATCAACAAAGGCCACAACATCAAAACAGGACTTAGTGCATACAAATTGGCTATTTTACATTCTTATCCAGAGACACTTTGTCTAAAGTAGACTTAACAACAGCATAACTTTAGTCAACACAAGCTAAACAAAATAAGCTGTAAAGTAAAAGAGGCTAAAGTAAAAACATAAAACAGACAATGTCTTTGAGGCTAGTAGACCACCTAGCTTACTCTGTTCTTCCTCCTCAATAATAACTTCCTGTGTAAGTCTGACCTGGAGAAGACCCTGAACAAGCTGACGCGGAACGAGCTGATGGAGGACGAGGTGCGGATGGTGTGTGAGAAGGTGATCGACAAGGCCGACCTGGACAACGATGGACGGCTCTCTGGAGGACTTCCAGCACATGATCGTCCTTTCGCCAGACTTCCTCAGGTCTGTCTGGTGTGCATGGAGTGCCTTCATAGTTAGGGCCAGTGGCAACCCGTCATTCAGGGCAGGTGGGGCAGAGACCCCTGTTTTGAGCCCTACCTGTTAAATTTTTTAGCTTATTATAATAAAAATAAAAATAAATGTTGCCAGTTTTGCATGTTATTTTGGCATTAATACGTGTCACGTATCAGTTTGCAAATGTTTTTTTTTAAAAATACAAAACTTTGAATTAATAAAGCCGCATACAAACATGGTCTCTTTTTTCACTTTCTTGAGTAAGGCAGCTCCAAAATGCAGGTGTTTCTGCCTAGCTCAGTGCTTTCTGTGGTGGTGGGGCAGCCAGTGGAAAATACAGAGCGTAGGGGTTGGTAATGTTCTCTAGTTGCGCCGTGATTGCCTCAGTGTTCTGTCACTCATGGGGACACTGTGCCACTGCCAAATCTAAGGGTAGAGCTTGAATATTCAAGCCCCTTGGGTGCTGCCATAGAGTTACATTAGAAGTGCCCATCCACGAAGGCTCAAGGTCATTGGCCAGATAAAATGACGTCAAATCACGTTATATTGGACTGATCATGTCAACATCATACTTTCAAAATCTTAGCTAGCAAGCTAGCAGTCATCGTCATGAATCAAGTCGACAATCTACTGGCAAATCCTTTTCAATCCTTGTCATATGAAGATAAAACGTATCGGTACTCATCGGCCATTGGACATAAACATTACAGAACAAGTTGGAAATCGCAAATTCAACAATGAGTGGTTTGGAAGGATTCAGTGGCTAACTGCAAGCATTACAAAACAATCCCTAGCCTCCTATTCAGTTGAGTGGATGTGTGGTCCAAGTCTGGGTTTAAGGGTCTCTTTTCCAAGCTTAAAAGGATAACCATTCAACATTGGCCATGCTTTCAATTCAGCATGACTTCTGCCGCGTTCAAAACAACTGGAAACGTGGAAATCTCAGACTTTAAATGAGTTCAAGACCACTGGGAAGTCGGAAAAAACTAGCTCCAACTGGGAAAATAACTTTTCAAAAGGTCATCCAACTTGTAATTGCAAGTCAGGAACTCGGCCTCTTTCTAGAGCTCCGACCTAAAGATCACTGACATCATGATTCAACCTTGTTTTTTTCAGACTTCACAGCTGTCTTGAAAGCACCATAAATCCAGAGAATGCCAGACTTTGATGACAACATTTGCCCACAAGAAGGACTGCCGCGCCACCTTCCTGTTCAAGTGAGCACAGCACAACAAGGTGAGTCCAAAAATGTATTGTATGCTGCTGCATGAGTGATGTAATATCCCAGGGAGATATGTATACTGTAGCTAAGAAAGTAATACTAAGTGTATGTTGTGTAGTAAGCGGTTAGTAGCCCATGTGCCTCACCATAATAATTTGGTCCCTTTTCCCCTCATAACTTAGCCTACTGTTCTGACTTGGTGGCGCACATGTAGCCTATAGCCTGTTTTAAAGAAATGTCATTGAATATTGTAAGAGCTTTCATTGTCTGCTTATGTGCCCCCTTTATTTATCCTACGGTTCTGACTTGGTGTACAGGGAGAATACTGTAAGAACGGCCAATGTTCTGAATTCTGTCGCTGTACATTTCAAAAGTGCTGAACAAATAGTTATATTGACTAAGTCCGTCCTAGCTCGCTCATTAACGTCTTAATCTAAATTACAAATTGCCTCTTATCCACTCTTCGTCCCCTTATGCCATAGTTTGTACATCTCAATTGTCAGTAGAAACCACATTTGTTTAAGCAAGTCATATTTTCCACCTTTTGTTACGTTACACCCATGGGGCGGCGCACAATTGGCCCAGTGTCGTCCAGGGTAGGGGAGGGAATGGCCGGCAGGGATGTAGCTCAGTTGGTAGAGCATGGCGTTTGCAATGCCAGGGTTGTGGGTTCGATTCCCACAGGGACAAAAAAAGAATGTATGCACTCACTAACTGTAAGTCGCTCTGGATAAGAGCGTCTGCTAAATGACTAAAATGTAAATGTAACAGCCTTATTCTAAAATGGATTAAATAAATAAAAATGCCAAGAGTGTGCAAAGCTGTCATCAATGCCAAGGGTGGCTATTTGAAGAATCTCAAATATAAAATATATATTGATTTGTTTAACACTTTTTTGGTTACTACATGATTCCATGTGTTATTCTACAATGTAGAAAGTAAAAATAAAGAAAAACCCTTGAATGAGTAGGTGTGTCCAAACTTTTGACTGATACTGTATATTGGCAGCTGACCTGCTGTTGCAGCTAAATAGTCTATTATGAAGCTCGAACTCCTGTAGCTATCAGGATAGGGCTCATTAGGTATGATGACCAACAGATTTGAATGATCATCTACAGGGGCTCAGTTACAGCAGGCTATAAAAACATCTGCCGCGATATTTCACTGAACCATGGAGGAGCAATGGAGGGAGAGGTATCTGTGTCATGGACGCATAAACACTCCATTGTCCCAATCTACAATCCATCTGAGTCACACTCATACTCATTAGTAGCAAAAGGTTTTGCAATGAAAAGTCGCAGACTTTTTAAAATAATCTTATTATATTAAATCAAAAGCACAGATATCTACAAAACTGTAGATCAATTTCAGTATGATTTTAGAAAGTACAGTCAAATTCAAGTAGATATATTTACAACAGTTTTTCTTTCTAAATGTAACTTGTTATTTGATTCTCCCGGTGTACCTTGCAATCAACATGGAATGAAAATGTGCTCATAAAAAAAATGCCAAGAGTGTGCAAAGCTGTCATCAAGGCAAAGGGTTGCTACTTTGAAGTATCTGAAATATATTTTGATTTGTTTAACACTTTTTTGGTTACTACATGATTCCATATGTGTTATTTCATAGTTTTGATGTCTTCACTATTATTCTACAATGTAGAAAATTGTAAAAATAAAGAAAAACCCTTGAATGAGTAGGTGTGTCCAAACATTTGACTGGTACTGTATGTGGGGCAACCATTTCACAGATATAGAACTCTCAAAATAACAAAATCACACAAAAATGGAGAGGTCCAAATGTCATAATGCATAGCTTCAAACTAGGCTGGTTGACAGTCTGTTTCTGCTCTCTTGCCAACTCCTTTTGGAATTGTCATGTCAAACATTTGCAATGGCTTGACAATGACAATAGCTCCAAACTGGAAGAGACTGAGTATTAGTTATTATTAAGACATGTGGTTTAGAGGAGGGTGCAATATTAGGTCCCAGTACAGCAGTAAATATAGAAAAGGTGCAGGCTAGGATAAAAGGACCCCATTTCAATGTTGTGCATGTTCTATTATCTTTTTTTATACCGTGGACCCAGATCTGTTTGTGCCCATGCCAACTTCTCTGCTATCATTGTCAAGCTAAACATAGAGTTGGCATGATAGCACAAACAGGCTGGCACTCAGGCTCTCTTTTTTCCTCTTCAAAACATAGACATGTAAAAGAACAGGAAGAGGCAAACTGGGAAGTCTGAGGTAAAGAGGACTCGATGGTATAGATCAACAAACAAAATGTTTACATAATACATATGCACTTTTTTCTTCCATTTCCAAAACATTACACAGCTTTTCAATGGAATTTTCAGTGCATACTAAGGACATTTTCTTGCTGTTATAACAGCAATGTGTCCATGTTGTAACAGCGTCAGCTGGTGATATGGTGCCACCTAGCTGTCAAACAAGGTACTGACCGAAATGACAAACATGAACACAAAACAGAGGACATACCACAACAAACAAGAACTTGGTGACGTTGACTGGTTTTAACTTGACTTCATAAGCCAAGAGATCATCACATATAGAGTATACTCAAATTTGTCAGGACAGTAGCATACAACTAAAACTGTAAACACCATACCATAACAAATTTATGTAGGAACCACCATGAAAATGTAGGACTTCTTTACTTACTGATATCAGGGCCCGTATGTATCAAGTGTATCAGAGTAGGAATGATATTCTAGGATCAGTTTTGCCTTTTAAATCATAGCGAATAAGAGGGAGTACCTGATCCTAGATCAGCATTCATATTCTGAGACATTTGTGAACACAGGCCCTGAACCGTAGAACACAAATTAAAAGTAGAAAAGGATAGGAAGCCATTTAAAAAAAGGTATAATAATTGTCTAATACAATTCAAATATTATCTAAGGTATGCCCAAAGTATCTACCACCCATTACCATGATCCAATAAAATAGATCAGAAATGCCATTAAATTAAACCGAAATAAAATGCTTGTCTGGTATTGCGAAATAATCACTTGGCACAGACTACACACAGGTTACTGGTAAAGTGCAAGGAATGGATTGGATCGGGTTTGTTTGTCTGTCCACACTGTAACATTGCTGTTGGTACTAGCAGACAAACAGATACACACCCCTGTTCAGAGACGTCATATAGCCTAATCCCTATGTAGTGCCCTACTCTCTGGTTAGCTAAGTGACAACTCTGTACTAGATTACATTTGAACAGATTTTACACAAGAATGTTCTAGAGAAGAAAACAACACTGTAGAGCTGGAATGTAGCCCCAGGCCTCGTCTTAAGAGGTAAACCTTCAAGGACATTCGTGTGTGAAGGTTCTCAAGCCTGAAGAGAAAAGACCAGGGACTGGCAGTAAAAAAGTCAAACAACAGTTGAATAGCTACAGCACAAGAACATCATTCAGAGAAAGAGGCTTGTTGCAATTCAAGCATCTCTTGTTTAGAGCACTGTAGCATTACATTATTGTCTTAAACGGAACAGAATAGAATGCAAATGGAACAAATTGTTTCTTTTTCTTTTAGTCTGAATATTCAAATGATTTAGTGATCACTCTTTCCTGAAAGATTGTGCATCTTCAAGGCATATATCATCATTCATTTAACAACTCTGTTTCATCAAACCAAAAAAAGCCTATCAGCCTCCAGAATGTGTTAACAATATGGCTAGGGAGTTGAGGACTATTAGAAAATATTATCTAAACATCCACATCATCATGTTCCCAATCCCAAACCTCTGAGGTTATTCAAGCTACTCTAACAGGGAAGTAAGTGGGGCACCAACTTTGGCAGTTGTGCATCCATGTGGGTGAGTGTGAAAAATGTAAAATGTTATACGTAGAGAGACTAATGTGAAACAGAAGGAAGGAAGAGCCCATCTTTTGTGTGAAATGACATTTGGACAATGTTTCGAAAAACGAGTGGCGTCTTCACCGGTTGATCAGCCTGTCTGACTCGTGGAGAGAAACAGGAGCTTGGTGAGCTAGCTGGAAGAACTGCAGCATCACCAGGTATCATGGGGACGTCGTGGATGGGAGACGTGGATACTCCACCTGCCCTCGGGCATGACGTTGGGAGAGGAGGACAGGGAGGAGGAGGAGAGAGAGGGGCAATTCCCAATTCTCTCCCTACCAATTCCCATTGGTCCTATGTCTTCGATGTTCACAGATCTGTAAGGTGTAAACAATATGGTGGAAGCTCCACCACTAAACTGCTTATACCTATCCAAACACTTTAGATGCATAAAACATCTAAGGGTTAGGTCCAAGGGAAAGAGGTAGGGAGCGAATTGGGACTGGCTGAAGAAAATAGGTAGAAGGTGAGGGGGTGCTGGGAGCAAGCACAGTCCAGTTGTGTCCAGCCAGCCAGCCAGCGCCCCAGCTTGTCCCAGCCAGGGCTGGGCAGGCAAGGCCTTGGGTGTACATCCCAAACAGCACCCTATTCCCTACATAGCGCACTACTTTTGACCAGAGCCCTATAGGCAATGGTCAAAGGTATTGCACTATATAGGGAATAGGGTGCCATTTGGGATGTAACCTTGGTCAGGTCCTCACAGTAGGGCACAGGGGAAGAAGCTGATCTTCTTCTGGGGCTCTGAGATCTTTACCCCGTGGCTGCTCCCCTGGGGACTGTTGCCCTCCTGGAACAAAGACACACAGTTTATTTTTAAATATATGTCCAGCATTTAATTTTTGGACATTCTTAAAGTTCCTTCTTCAAACCTAAGTCATTATTGAACTATAATGTATTGTTCATACAGAAAAGGTAGGAGAAAAGGGAGGTTGAACTTACTAATTTTGTGTCCATCTTTGATTTGATGTCTCTGGCAAGCGTCAAAAACACGTTTTCCACATTGATATTGGCCTTTGCACTGGTCTCCATGAACTTGATACCATACTCTAACGCCAGCTGAGAAAAGAGGGGAGTAATGCTTTGACTCTACATCAGGGACCTCTGAATTTATTTTGCCTGGTCTTCACCGAAGTCTGGAGGGCCGCACTTCCGTGCTGCGGAAAGTTGTGGGGGGATAATTCCTCTATCCATCGTTTTTGCTATATCTGATGCTTTCTGAAACTGTAGCCTTTGTTTTGTAAAAATAAATAAAAAATAGGAGCAGGTGAGTCCAGCTGTGAATTGACAGGGGTCGCGTTTTATATTGAAAGTCAGTGTTTTTAGAGTGATCAGGGGCGTGCAATTATAGTTACTTCACAGAAAATACATTAGTGCAACACATTCGGCAGAAAATAGCTTCATTTTCATCAGATGACAACAGAAGTGCAACGCTATTTTGCTGGCAGCCACACAAATAAATGAGCTTAGAATGAAAAAGCAAGGTATTTTTGCAAAAACAATGAATGACCATCATAGTTCTGTTTTCCATAGATGTAGCCAGCTACATTTCCTAATGTTTTGCTTAAAGTTCATCTTGCATTTTACAGGAGAAAAGTAGGATACACCTAGAAAAGTACCGAAAGAAAAGTAGATACACATCAGTCAGAGCATGGTCTGCTGATACAATGCCGTTTGTGAATTCTCATCCGAGCGGAGAAGTGCAACTGAAGAAAAAAATGTGTCTGATGCCGAGCAGAAATTACAATATGAAGCATTTTAGATCTGCATTTACAAAACGCAGCCAGATATTCCTTATGCGTTCACTTTTTTTATGCGTGAAAAACACAGAATTCTGTGTTAACTAGCAAGTTAAACTTAGTTGCGTTATCTAAGTAAGTGGCTGAATTAATAAGGAGACCGGGCATCATATAGTGTTATCTCTCTGCCGTGTTTGAGAAGTCAAAGCCCTTTGGATGAGTTATCTGTACAGCTGCCACTGCTATCTTGATTTCCTTGTGTTTCTTCTCCTCTCCATTCTCGGCACGTCTGGTCCTCCCCCCTCTTCACTGAGCAGATCTGGCAGGCCTGTTGCCCTAGCCACTCCAGACAGACAAGACACAGCGTGTGCACATGCTGCACCAGAGCCAGTACTGTTCTTCCTTCAGACAAGCATGCGTCAAAACTTTGTTAATTTGCACAATGTCTCTCATTCACATTTGCTTGTAAATGTCCAAACTCACCAAAAATGACATTCGGCTTGTGATTCATTACATGATTGCAGCAGAACTTACCTTCTCTCCTCTTTCTTTGGACACCTGCCGTTTGTCGTTGATGTCACATTTGTTACCAAGAACCATCTTCTCAACATCAGCCGATGCATGCTACGGAGAAGATAAGATAAGAGTGGTTTAATACTATGATACAAACAAATACTACATACTGTTGGCTTTGACAGATTAAACATTTACATTTTAGTCATTTAGCAGACACTCTTATCCAGAGCGACTTACAGTTAGTGAGTGCATACATTTTCATACTGGCCCCCCGTGGGAAACGAACCCACAACCCTGGCGTTGCAAGCGCCATGCTCTACCAACTGAGCTACAGGGGAGCTACGAGAGAACTACTAGCCAGTCAGTATGTGGGTCGTGTTAAGAATATAACATAATAAAATATAAATTTAAGCAAACATACCTCCTCTATGTTCCGTATCCAGTTCTTGATGTTGTCGAAGGACTTTTCGTTGGTGATGTCGTAGACTAGCATGATACCCTGCAGAGAGATGTGAGACAATGAAACGTCAGAGGATGGAAAACCGGAAGTCAAATCCTCAATGTTGAGTCAATGCCTCGAGGAAGAAGTTGTGTTTACCCACCATTGCTCCTCTGTAGTATGCTGTCGTGATTGTTCTAAAACGCTCCTGTCCTGCTGTGTCCCTGCAAAAGACACATGGGAGGACAACAATCAGCTGAATTACATGGACATTATTAATATCCTCCAGGATAGTTACCTAGCTATAACTGCAAGGCAAAATGCTTTGGGTGTAGCCTAGGCCTACCCCTTCTCCTCTCTGTATGAAAGCAGTCTTGATGCTCATGGAAAAGTGCATGAAAAGGACACAACTTACCATATCTGTAACTTAATCTTCTTGCCATCTAGTTCTATTGTTCTAATCTTAAAGTCAATGCCTACGGGAGAAGAATAAGAGGGACAGGGAATATGAAATTAGATACCTAGCCATTAAACACAATAGTATGACTAATCTCTAGTAGCATACAGTAGCTCTATCTACAACTTCCTATACAATAAAAAGGTAAAGGGTGAATGTTTATGATATGTGGCATCAACAGCATCCAGGGTAAGCTAGCCAAACTGTTAACTAGCTGAATAATATGCCATGAATTATGTTTTTTACCTTTCCCATTGCTAACTAGCTGCCAGGCTAAAAGCGATTTAGCTACATTGCTGTACAGTTATGAACATACCGCTACCCAGACACGTCGCAGGGGCTATAACCTGAAATATCAATTTCGAACGTTGTCACCACTAAATATGGTATTGAGAGGAAGTCCAGCCGCGGGTAGTGGGAGAGGATGGAACTAGGTGAAACTGTGGCGACATTCTGCACATTTTCTCATCTGATCTTAATACATTTTTCTGTTCCCAAAACTAGAATCTGTTACGAACACAGTGCACTAACTTGTATAGACTTGACGCTTAGTCAAAGTATAAACATTGCGTTGTTGTGCACACGCCCACTTCACAGAGGAAGCTCTCTAACGCAGACATATTCAAATACAACGCGCCAATAGGATCTCGCTAGCTCATGCCTGGCTCTGCCCATCTCCTTGCTTGTTCTGCCCAATATGCTTCATTTGCTCCCACTGTAAACGACACAGATGAACTATCTTGGGTTAGTTATAAATATATTTGGCCAGTAGATAGCACTTGATAGTTTGGATTTAGCTAGCTCATTTAGAGGTAGCTTATGTTAGATAGTAGGGCTAACTATTAGCTAGTAAACTACAGAAAGTTCAGAAAGTTGAAAAACAGGCTAGCAATCTAAAGTCTCTACTTAACGTTAGCTAGCATTAGCTTTATAGCTAGCTAGTTAAAATGTTGAGTAGATATAGCTATGCACTACAGCTAACAACGTCAATGCCGTTGTAACTTTACACTTTATTCAGTGTGATTGTAGATAATCAGTTAGCTAACTAACTTTATGTAGTCCGTTGCTCAATAATCATAGGACAATAAACTGGTCCTCTGTAGCTCAGCTGGTAGAGCACGGCGCTTGTAACGCCAAGGTAGTGGGTTCGATCCCCAGGACCACCCATACACAAAAATGTATGCACGCATGACTGTAAATCGCTTTGGATAAAAGCGTCTGCTAAATGGCATATTATTATAAACTAGCTGCTTTCTGCGGTACTGACATAGGTTTTGTAAACATGGCATTGTGTGGCTAACCAAAGTCACACCTACCTATGGTGGAGATGAATGTGGAGTTAAAGGCATCCTCTGAGAACCTGAACAACACGCATGTCTTCCCGACACCAGAATCTCCGATTAACAGTAATTTAAACAAATAATCGTATGTCTTCGCCATCCTTGATATTGCGGAAATCCCGACCGCTGTGAAGCAGGCAAGGATAACTAAGTACATCCGGGTCACAGATTCTTCTTCTTCTTAAGGTTTTATTGGCGGATTACATCCAAAGAAGTGTGTTGGCGCCACCTACTGGGTGAAATGAAAGCAGATACTTTAACGATGTATTTTTATTTGATAAAAAATAAATACATACAGTACCAGTCAAAAGTTTGGACACATCTACACATTCAAGGGTTTTTCTTTATTTTCACTATTTTCTACATTGTAGAATAATAGTGAAGATGTCAAAACTATGAAATAACACATATGGAATCATGTAGTAACCAAAAAAGTGTTAAACAAATCAAAATATATTTGAGCTTTGAGATTCTTCAAAGTAGCCATCCTTTGCCTTGATGACAGCTTTGCACACTCTTGGCATTCTCTCAACCTGCTTCATGAAGTAGTCACCTGGAATGCATTTCAATTAACAGGTGTGCCTTGTTAAAAGTTAATTTGTGGAATATCTTTCCTTCTTAATGAGTTTGAGCCAATTAGTTGTGTTGTGACAAGGTAGGGTTGGTATACAGATGATAGCCCTATTTGGTAAAAGACCAAGTCCATATTATGGCAAGAACAGCTCAAATAAGCAAAGAGAAATGACAGTCCATCATTATTTAAGACATGAAGGTCAGTGAATCCGGAAAATGTCAAGAACTTTGAAAGTTTCTTCAAGTGCAGTCGCAAAAACCATCAAGAGATATGATAAAACTGGCTCTCATGAGGACCGCCACAGGAAAGGAAGACCCAGAGTCTCCTCTGCTGCAGAGGATAAGTTCATTAGAGTTACCAGCCTCAGAAATTGCAGCCCAAATAAATGCTTCACAGAGTTCAAGTAACAGACACATCTCAACATCAACTGTTCAGAGGAGACTGTGTGAATCAGGCCTTCATAGTCGAATTGCTGCAAAGAAACCACTCCTAAAGGACACCGATAAGAAGAAGAGACTTGCTTGGGCCAAGAACAATGAGCAATGGATAATAGACCGGTGGAAATATGCCCTTTGGTCTGTTGAGTCAAAATGTGAGATTTTTGGTTTCAACCGCCGTGTCTTTGTGAGACGTAGAGTAGGTGGACGGATGATCTCCGCATGTGTGGTTCCCACCGTGAAGCATGCAGGAAGAGGTGTGATGGTGTGGGGTGCTTTGCTGGAGACACTGTCTGTGATTTATTTAGAATTCAAGGCACACTTAACCAGCATGGCTACCACAGCATTCTGCAGCGATACGCCATCCCATCTGGTGTGCGCTTAGTGGGACTATGATTTGTTTTTCAACAGGACAATGACCCAACACACCTCCAGGCTGTGTAAGGGCTATTTGACCATGAAGGAGAGTAATGGAGTGCTGCATCAGATCCTCCTCTCCACCCTCTCCGAGTTGGGCATCTCCGGCGCGGCTCACTCTTGGATTGCGTCCTACCTGACCGGTCGCTCCTACCAAGTGGCATGGCGAGAATCTGTCTCCGCACCACGTGCTCTCACCACTGGTGTCCCCCAGGGCTCAGTTCTAGGCCCTCTCCTATTCTCGCTATACACCAAGTCACTTGGCTCTGTCATATCCTCACATGGCCTCTCCTATCATTGCTACACAGACGACACACAACTAATCTTCTTCCTTTCCCCCTTCTGATAACCAGGTGGTGAATCGCATCTCTGCATGTCTGGCAGACATATCAGTGTGGATGACGGATCACCACCTCAAGCTGAACCTCGGCAAGACGGAGCTGCTCTTCCTCCCCGGGAAGGACTGCCCGTTCCATGATCTCGCCATCACGGTTGACAACTCCGTTGTGTCCTCCTCCCAGAGTGCGAAGAGCCTTGGCGTGACCCTGGACAACACCCTTTCGTTCTCCGCTAACATCAAGGTGGTGACCCGATCCTGTAGGTTCATGCTCTACAACATTCGGAGAGTACTACCCTGCCTTACACAGGAAGCGGCACAGGTCCTAATCCAGGCACTTGTCATCTCCCGTCTGGATTACTGCAACTCGCTGTTGGCTGGGCTCCCTGCCTGTGCCATTAAACCCCTACAACTCATCCAGAATGCCGCAGCCCGTCTGGTGTTCAACCTTCCCAAGTTCTCTCAAGTCACCCCCGCTCCTCCGCACACTCCACTGGCTTCCAGTTGAAGCTCGCATCTGCTACAAGACCATGGTGCTTGCCTATGGAGCTGTGAGGGGAACGGCACCTCTGTACATTCAGGCTCTGATCAGTCCCTACACCCAAACGAGGGCATTGCGTTCATCCACCTCTGGCCTGCTGGCCCCCCTACCTCTGCGGAAGCGCAGTTCCTGCTCAGCCCAGTCGGGACTGTTCGCTGCTCTGGCACCCCAATGGTGGAACAAGCTCCCTCACGACGCCAGGACAGCGGAGTCACTCACCACCTTCCGGAGACACTTGAAACCCCACCTCTTTAAGGAATACCTGGGATAGGATAAAGTAATCCTTCTACCCCCCCCCTTACCCCACCCCAAAGAAAGAAAAAAACCATATTGTAAAGTGGTTATCCCACTGGCTATAAGGTGAATGCACCAATTTGTAAGTCGCTCTGGATAAGAACGTCTGCTAAATGATGTAAATGTAAATGTAAATGTAAAATAAACTGGCCTCCACAATCACCCGACCTCAACCCAATTGAGATGGTTTGGGATGAGTTGGACCGCAGAGTGAAGGAAAGGGAGCCAACAAGTGCTCGGCATATGTGGGAACTCCTTCAAGACTGTTGGAAAAGCATTCCAGGTGAAGCTGGTTGAGAGAATGCCAAGATTGTGCAAAGCTGTCATCAAGGCAAAGGGTGGCTACTTTGAAGAATCTAAAATCTAAAATATATTTAGTATGTGTAATTTCATAGTTTTGATGTCTTCACTATTATTCTACAATGTAGAAAATAGTAAAAATAAAGAAAAACCCTAGAATGAGTAGGTGTGTCCAAACATTTGACTGGTACTGTATTTATATATAAAAATAAATAAAAAACACTCATATTATTCCCAAAAAAACAAAGGTCAATGTACTCCTTCACTTAGTCAAATGTACTCAGATCCCTACACAGGCTCTTTTTCACGATTCTCTCAACTGACCGACATCCACAGACTGTTGGGCATCCACTGCCATAGCTTCATCATCTTTACTCGCTGCTTCAACAATTTTCACTGCCTCTGCATAGGAGACCTTCTCGACAGCCCTGATCCTTCCTACTTCAAACTCCTTCACCCTAACAGGGCACTCAGGGAACTCTGGATCGTGATTCCCAGGGTCACAGATTTTTGGAATCATTCAGAATAAAAGTCTGTCCTGTATTCTTTGTAAATGAATAATTAGGGTGAAAAATATGGAAAATGTTCACAATTATCTATTTTATACTAGTTATCATACAAATAATATTTTTAAGTATTTCTATAAGATATTTGGTCATTTTTAACTTTATTTTTTCAAGCCTAAATGGTCAACAATTATATATCTTTGTGTATTCCTATAATTTATTGCACTGTACAAAATTATCTGTACATGTGTCGCAGTAAAGGGGGGGGGGGGGTCCATTCTACTCAGGAGCACTTCTAGTTTCCAAATCCACAGAGTTTACACCCAGAGGACCATCAGTGCTCATTTGGCGGCCCTTATAGAGTGGCCCATCAAATTAAATCCAATCGCGGCACTTTAGTTTTAGAAGTGGGGGGGTCTGGGGGTCCTCCCCCAGATAGTTTTTGGCCATCTAAAGCTCATTTCCTGCATTTTTACACAATCCAATATGCCGTCTCTCTTTATAATAATAAATAATATGCCATTTAGCTGACGCTTTTATCCAAAGCGACTTACAGTCATGCGTGCATACATTTTTGTGTATGGGTGGTCCCGGGGATCGAAACCACTACCTTGGCGTTACAAGCGCCATGCTCTACCAGTTGAGCTACAGAGGACCAGAACAAAAAGTAAATAAAAATGCCCACAGTCATCAAACTTGGTAAGAATAATTATTAAATATGTTTAAGTGATTAATAAGACGGAACTAGATCAAAGGTAATTGAATAATACATATTGTGTTGCACCTTTAACCAATAGCCTAACAAATGAACAACTCCTGAAGAAATACAAATACTTTTGATTGTCTTCATTAAGACATCCTCTATATAAAATTTCCGCCAAACCGACCAGCCATCCCGAGCCGCCTGCACGCCCGACCCACACCAGTCTACTCAATAACTCAACTCTCTCCAAACACAATTTTTTTAATTCCCAAAGGAAAGGTTTGGAAACAAATAACAAAACAAAAAAACACATACACCTCAAATATACACTAATGTTCAAACGTTTGGGGTCACTTAGAAATGTACTTGTTTTCGAAAGAAAAGCAATTTTTATGTCCATTAAAATAACATCAAATTGATCAGAAATACAGTGTAGACATTGTTCATGTTGTAAATGGCTATTGAAGCTGGAAACGGCTGAATTTTTATGGAATATCTACACAGGCTTACAGAGGCCCATTATCAGCAACCATCAGTTCTGTGTTCCAATGGCACGTTGTGTTTGCTAATCCAAGTTTATCATTTTAAAAGGCTAATTGATCATTAGAAAACCCTTTTGCAATTATGTTAGCACAGTTGAAAATTGTTGTGCTGATTAAAGAAGCAATAAAACTGGCCTTCTTGAGACTAGTTGAGTATCTGGAGCATCAGCAATTGTGGGTTCGATTACAGGCTCAAAATGGCCAGAAACAAAGAACTTTCTTCTGAAACTCGTCAGTCTATTCTTGTTCTGAGAAATGAAGGCTATTCCATGTGAGAAATTGCCAAGAAACTGAAGATCTCGTACAACGCTGTGTACCACTCCCTTCACAGAACAGCGCAAACTGGCGCTAACCAGAATAGAAAGAGGAGTGGGAGGCCCCTGTGCACAACTGAGCAAGAGGACAAATACATTAGAGGGTCTAGTTTGAGAAACAGACGCCTCACAGGTCCTCAACTGGCAGCTTCATTAAATAGTTCCCGCAAAACACCAGTCTCAACATCAACAGTGAAGAGGCGACTCCGGGATGCTGACCTTCTAGTCAGAGTTGCAAAGAAAAAGCCATATCTCAGACTGCCCATATCACTGACAAACTGAAATGGTCCACCCACACAGACACAACTCTTCAACCTCAGGAGGCTGAAGAAATTTGGCCTGTCACCTAAAACCCTCACAAACTTTTACAGATGCACAATTGAGATTATCCTGTCGGGCTGTATCACCGCCTGGTACGGCAACTGCACCGCCCACAACCGCAGGGCTCTCCAGATGGTGGTGCGGTCTGCACAATACATCACCGGGGGCAAACTACCTGCCCTCCAGGACATCTACAGCACCCGATGTCATATAGTACATTCTATGGATGGCCGTAAACTGCAGTAATTTATGTCTGAGATTATATGAACATGACTGGGAATTCAAACATATCTGTATCCATTCATCACCATCAATAGCTTCTACCAGGTCTTGCTCACATTTTTGCTTTACATGTTTTGTGTCATCGGGAAAAGCCTCTATCAACCCTTGATACAGTTTGGAAGTCAACTTGGAGGTTTGTCAGACTGCCTTAAAATAGCATTTGGCTTGTCCAGTTTTTGCTGAACAGAGAGAATAAAGTGTTTTATCTGCAAAAATTGACCTCATCTCAGTCACAGAGACTGGTCTTCCCAGGCTGCCTGACCCTGCTGAGTCCCATCACCATCTGATCCTCCTAAAATGAGGCATAACAAAGAATTACCTGGGTGTATACATTATATTATCCAAGAATAGAATCAATGGTTCAATAATTGAAATTACCATTATTCCCAGATCCCAGACTGTAGCTTTAAGCTTAAACTGCTGTCCTGTAGCTACTGTAGGTCTACCCATCAATTCAAGATGGAACTTTGTATCATTCACAGATATTGTTAATCTACTGCAAAATTCACCTGAGCTCCATACACTGGTCTTCCTTGGCTGTCTGACCCTGCTGGGACCCCTGTCACCATCTGATCCTGCTAAAACATGATGAGCATAGTGTTGTGTACTGACTGCACTAGAGGGCTACATTCTTGCGGGATGCCTGCGGGACCGACAGAGATCATTGCTACATGGACAGCATTTTTCATGCTGCGGGCGGGAGTGGGCGGTCAGACAGATGACTTTGGGATGAAAATATTTTTGTTGTCCCACAGATTATTTGGAAACGGTGTTAGTCTACCTATTTTATTTAAAGCACATATTCTTTGCATTATTCACACACTCAGAATTCTCTGCTTCAACTTCAGTAGCCTACCTTTCCTAGTTGGGCGTGAGAGTTCAAGTGCGCCTAGTATGTGTGGTCTCATTGAAATAGAGTAGGCTGCCTACACGGGCAGAGAATCACGTGGCATTTAACTTGAATATAAAATTTACTTAAATAGGATTAGACTGTAGTTAACTACAGTGTCTGTAAATAAATATTGATAATGGAAAGAAGTGGAGGGCTCTCAACCAATGTGAGTCGAAGTGCAATCAAAAAATGTAATAATTGAAAAGGAAAAGGCACAACGTGCACATAGGTTAGGCTACTATGGTGAGCGAGCGTTGCACCTTTTCATTTTCAAAAATGCATGGACTGAGAAGCACGGGGCAGTAATCCTTCCAAGGAAATGTACTTCCTAAATAGGCCTATGATTAGGCTATAGTTTACTACATTGCCTAGAAATAGGCCTAAATATTGGCCACCCATATTTCACCGTCTAAAAATCTTTCCAATCCTAAAGGGTAGGCTATAAAAATAGCTCAAGAGAAAGTGCAAGTCTCTCCAACTCTGCACTCTTCAAACTACATCTACAAAACAGCGCCGGAAGAAGATGGCTGCCGTTTTACAGCCCTCTAACCAATTGTACTATTATGTGTGTTTTTCCGCGTTATTTGTAATTTATTTTGTACATAATGTTTCTGCAATCGTCTCTTATAACCAAAGAGAGCTTCTGGATATCAGGACAGCGATTACTCACCTCGCGTTGGACGAACACTTTTTCTTCAACGAGGCGTTCGCGAAGGATATTCTACAGACTCCCGACAAGGCCCAGATCCCCGTCATTCGCGTGAGGAAGAGACGGAGATATCGTGGACGCAGATCCGGGTGCCTTGTAAGGATCCGACGGCGAACGAGTAAACTGCCTCTCCCATCAATCCTATTAGCCAACGTTCAAGCTTTGGAGAATAAAATGGACGATTTAAGATTACGGTTATCCTACCAACGGGACATTAAAAACTGTAATATCTTATGTTTCACGGAGTCGTGGCTGAATGACAACAATGACAACATTCAGCTAGCAGGCTATACGCTACATCGGCAGGACAGAACGGCAGACTCGGGTAAGGCGAGGGGTGGCGGTCTCTGTATATTTGTAAACAACAGCTGGTGCACAAAATCAAATACTAAGGAAGTCTCAAGGTTTTGCTCGCCTGAGGTAGAGTATCTTATGATAAGCTGTAGACCACACTATTTACCAAGAGAGTTTTCATCTATATTTTTCATAGCTGTCTATTTACCACCACAAACCAATGCTGGCATTAAGATTGCACTGAATGAGTTGTACAAGGCCATTAATCAACAGGAAAACGCTCATCCAGATGCAGCGCTCCTAGTAGCAGGGGACTTTAATGCAGGGAAACTTAAATCCGTTCTACCTCATTTCTACCAGCATGTTAAATGTGCAACCAGAGGGGAAAAAACTCTAGACCACCTTTACTCCACACACAGAGACGCATACAAAGCTCTCCCTCGCCCTCCATTTGGCAAATCTGACCATAACTCTATCCTCCTGATTCCTGCTTATAAGCAAAAACTGAAGCAGGAAGCACCAGTGATTCGGCTAATAAAAAAGTGGTCAGATGACGCAGATGCTAAGCTACAGGACTGTTTTGCTAGCACAGACTGGAACATGTTCCGGGATTCTTCAGACAGCATTGAGGAGTACACCACATCAGTCACTGGCTTCATCAATAAGTGCATCGATGATGTCGTCCCCACAGTGACCGTACGTACATACCCCAACCAGAAGCCATGGATTACAGGAAACATCCGCACTGAGCTAAAGGGTAGAGCTGCCGCTTTCAAGGAACGGAACTCTAACCCGGACGCTTATAAGAAATCCCGCTATGACCTCCGACGAACCATCAAACAGGCAAAGAGTCAATACAGGTCTAAGATTGAATCATACTACACTGGCTCTGACGCTCGTCGGATGTGGCAGGGCTTGAAAACTATTACAGACTACAAAGGGAAGCACAGCCGCGAG